TCAATAAACACGTCATTTGTAATGAGTAACAATAAATATTATTAATTATGTAATTTAATATTGGCTTCGATAAATCAACTAATTGCATCGCTGTTTAAGAAATTGGTTTGTTCAAAATCTGGGGCCATCTGAATAGACAAGTTTATCATTATCATTTAGTGCAGGGGAGCAAAGTTAAGTTTCCAATGGACAATAAACACGTTATTTCTAATGTGTTACAAATAATATTTCAGATAATATTATTTAATATGTAATTCAATATTAGGTTCAATAAATCAACTGATTGCATATAATTTTCTGTGTCTGTGCAAAATCTAGGGCCACCTGAATAGGCAAATTTATAATTATCATTAAGAGCATTCCCATGCTCTTTCTAATGTGTAACAATTAATATTTCAAATAATATAATTTAATACGACATTAATGGTTAATGCTTCAATAAATCCACTTATATCATCACACTCTCCAAATTATAATCTGTGAGTAGTGAATCAGAGTGGTCAAAGAGCACGTCAAGTCTCTTTCTTATGTCTAACAAAAAATATTTCACATTTAATCTGATATTGAATATTGGCTTCAATAAATCCACAAATTGCACACTTTCCAAAGGGTTGCTGGTGCCAATAGCTAATAGAGTTTATTTGAGGGCTTTAAACTACCTCAAATGTCTTTCATACCAAAGTGATTACTTAGCCCTTGGAACCAAACATTATTCCACTGGCTTTCCTTTGAGTTCAAACAAGCGTCATCGGATTTCAGGGAAATCTATTGGTATTGAAACTGGCATCTGCTCGAATGGAATTCAATTAGAAGATGCGTAATCCCCCTCAGTTTGTCTCCTGCCTCGATTTAATTAAGCTCCTTGCGCTGCGGCGTCTTTTAACCCTCACAGTCTTGCAATTTATATCTAATTCAGTTCAAAGATTTATTTACTATGGTACTATGGGACTTTAATTAGCACTCCACTTGTTGGCAGATGGAACGGTTCGTTGGCAAGGAAATAAACACGCGCCAAATGACATTGAAAGTGGACGAGTTGCATTGGAAAAGGGGAGTGAATTTTCCGGAACGGTGGCCCAAGTGGGGGTGAACAAGTGCCGATGTCACCCCAGTTGGTCAGAAAAGGGGGAGGGAGAAACCCCTCCAGCATTTGCAGAGCTTGTTGTGACTTCTTATTGTCCTTTTCCTCTTTTTCTTTATTGGCTGCGAGTTTGAGTTCGTTTCCTGGGCATCCTTGTAGTTAAGCAGAATTTTAATTGATAAATTGCCACTTGGGCTATTACTTGTCGCTACCGTGGCTCCAGGCAGCGCCTCATTCTCCACCCCACCCATTCCATTTTTCCCCGGCCCTTCCCATCCCCCGCATCGCTTTGAATAATTTGCAAAAGTTGCGACCAGAACGGAGAAGGAAACTCCTCGCCCGCTGCGGTCGCCTCTTCAGCACTCCGCATCCACTTTTGAACGTGCTGTTAGTAGCGTTTACATCATCAAATGAAATACAATAAAATACTTGGACTCATTTAAAAAGCAATTAAATATTAAAAACACTTGTACAATGGCGACTCGGCAAAAGGGAAAAGGGAGCTTTGGTGACTTTTGGAATTTTGATTGTTTCTTTGCGTTTCACTTACAAGTTTTTCCGGGGTAAAGCGGCAGCGGCAGCAGAGGGTTCGGGGCTCTGCGGTTTTATTTGAGTGATTATGCAATTAATTAAAATCTCTTCGCTTGTGGTTTAAGCCAAGAGCTGAGCCGTGGGGATTTCCATCCGACCAGGCCGAGTTTTCCCCAAACCAAGTAATTGAATTAAAATCGGAATGCGAAATTAGCATTATCGAGTGCTAAGAAACGGAATGGCACAACTTTCTGGCCATTCGGGGAGTTGGCCAAGCGATTTCCCTGCCGGAAGTCAAGTTTATTAGAACAACCAGCCAGGAGATTGGCTGGAAAAAAGTCGAAACATAACTGCAAAAAAAGAGGCAACAAGGGAGGGAGCTGAGCAAAAAAATGATGATGGCAAGGGGTGGAAAAGCACACATAAGCGTTCAGTTATTCCATTAATTTGATTAGAGTTTCTGACGGATCAAGGGCGCCGGTTAACGCGGAACAAAGAAAAGCATGGAAAATCAAAGAAAAAGCTGGAAATTCGGAAAGCGGAAAAAATACAGAAAGTCGAGGCTAAAGATACTCTAAGAAAATATGTTTGATGGTACAAAATTTGATTTCCAATTTTACAAAAAAAATGTAATATCTATTTGGCAATAAATGAAAATAAAATAATATTTAAAAAAAAAAAAATTTTTTTTAAAAAGATTTGTTAATAAATGTATGATTAAATGATAACCATTTATCGATCGATTATTAAATTATTAATTTAAATTAACTAGCTATATTTAAAAAATCTATAATGACCTTTACTTTATTAAAATAAACACAAGGGTTGGAATTTGTTCCAAATTGTTTAACTGTGTCAAACCCGTGCGAAGAATTTCAAAACCCCTTCCTAGACCCCAATAACGAACTCAGCAACACGCGCAGGGAAAAAACTGTAGAAAAAAGCGAAGCGAGGGCAAAAAGGAAGCGGTGGCAAAAACATAAGAATGAAAGCTATCCCATCCACGTGGCCACCACACCTTATGAAGTGCTGTTATTAACTATGGCCCGGAACCGGGGCAACTTATGCCTCATAAGAATTTAACGCCCGAATGCTCAAATTGTCAATAAGAAAGTTGGCACGCCCACTTTGCGGCCAGGCTATCTGTCTGGCTAAGCCAAGTTGGCAACATTTTATGCCACCTCAGTTACACACACACACCAACTATACGTTCGGCATTAAACGGCAATGTCCACGCGTTTTCATTAAGCCAACTTTTTGGCCTGGCCAAAACGGACGACGACGCCGACGAGGCCTGGCAATCATTTTTTATGGAGCCGCGCGGCCAGCGCATCAAAAACCCATTTGGCCGCCATTAACTTGATTGAGTCGAGCTTTTGCGAGCGGTGTTCCTGTATTTTTCGTTGGTTATTTTTTCTTTATTTTTGGGGGCGTTGCAAATGAAAATTGATCATGGCCCGGTGTCCTTTCCATGTTTACAACTAATATTTCTGCGCATTCCTTAAGGTGATGCGATCGGCCAGGCGACTTCTGGGCCATTAGTTGTCATTAGTGGGCTTTTCCTTAATTAAACTTTACCCCCCAATCAGTCATTAAAGGGTGTTTCTTGCGCTGTCGCTATCTTTCCAGTCATTTGTCATCTGGCCCACGGCATCTGCAATCCAGCAGTTGTTTGCTAATTAAAGGACCAAGTCCACAGGCCACTGCTTCCCAATGCCAATGCCAAGATTGTGGTCTTATCACAGAGCTGCTCATCCCCACCCCAAGTTCTTGGCGCTCCCGTTGGGTTGACCTACTTCTACTACAGTACTCGACCAGGTACTCGACCACTTCCACTGATTTGCCACTGCGGTTCAAATTGACTTTAGTCGGGCTTTCGAAGAGACCCAATGTTGCCTCTATAAGCCGCAGTTTCTCAATGGTATTAACTATCTTAATGGTATTAACTACTTCTAGTAATAAGAAGGGAATTTAATATAATTTAAACGAAGAACTTTATCCTTTAGGAATTTTATTATATCTTAAAATAATATTTTGGTTAGTAATGAACTAACTAACTAGTAAAAATATTTATATATATTAAAGTGTTTTTATTGTTTTATTAAAATAAATATTATATATTACAAATATTATACGACTTATCTTGAATATAATCCTGCCACTATTTATATTAATTTAAATGTTTTAGCTAAAACATTGCCCCTTAGAAAAGTGTGTTAGGTTCACTTAAAGCCCACTTTACAGATGTTAAACAAATCCCTGGGAGACCATGTCACTTGAGCTAATTTAGCAGTGGGGTTTCTCCATGAAATGCCAAAACAGCTTTTTCCAGATTCGATTATGGCTGCGCCTTAACCCTTCGGATTGCCAACCAAAAACTGGCTGCACTGCCAGTTCTCAGCTGAATCCAACTGTCACAGGACAGCATATTTAAGCTTAGCTGGCTTACATAAAATAAATAAATGTGATTTGTCATTTTGCAAAACATGAAATGGCAGCAGTTGGAACAGGACGAGTAAACTGTTCGGGAGAGAGCATTAAATTGCAGTCAAATGGCACGCTGTGTGCATTCCAAATGCCAGGGATCCTGAGAATCCTGTGAATCCTGGGCAGAATTAGGGGAGTGGGGCGATGGGGATGGGGGGATGTATTAAATTATTCGAGCATGCAGGAGCCAGACGGAGATACTTTCGTATGCAACACTGAGCAGCCGGTCCAAGTCCAAGTTCCTCACATATACAAACTGATGTTTGCCTTGTGACTTTTGCCAGATCAAATAAATGTTGCCCCATACACGACGAGGACCAGACCACCAGACTCAAGGACAAGGAGGTTAGGCTGCAGAATGCCTCCTCATCAGCAAATCAGCATCACAATCTGGCAGCAAGTCGGGCCAAGTTAAGCGCCATGTAAAATTCATTTGACCGAGCAGGACGGCAACGAGCTGCAAATGAAATGGCGAAACAAGCGTGTGGAAGTCACCTGTCAGTCCGCCCGCCCGCCAGGTGACACTGACCCACTCCAGCTGGAGATTCGTTTGAGAGTTCCATCAAAGAAGAGGTGGAACGACCTTTCGATGGCATTGACTTAAGTGAGTCAACAGAGAATTGGCCATGAGCATGTATTCAAATGAAGTACAAAGTCAAATGCTATTTAATTTGCAGGTTTATTTGTAGTTTTATGAAAAATATATCGGTTGTCACCTTAGAAAGCAGGTTAATAAAATTAAAAGTTGGAAGGGCATTTAATGACTTTTTCAAAAAGTAAGTTATAGTGGCTTACAGAGAACTAGGAAATGAATTTGGCAATTTATAGAATATTGTTAATAAAGTAGGTATGCGTTAAGGTAAATAGAAATCATTTCGATTGAAAACATATTATAGTATTTTTACTCCTCTCTATTGAAAGTGTCGTCGTCTTTATTTTGGGCAGCTTCGCACTTATGACCCGGCTGAATGATGACGAAGGAGCAGGTCAAGTCCTCGCTGACACTCATCACTCCGCCGGCATTGTTCATGAGACCGCAATAGTTTGGGGCGGAGAATATGGTTACCAGGTGGCGGTTGGCAAAGAACTCGTAGCCATCCTCCACGACCTCGTGGGCCCGAACCATGAGGTCCAGGTCATGGGCTTTTAGAAAGCTCCGAACAATGAGTTCATCGAATGTGAAGCTTACACCGCGGTCATTGTAGCCCCAGCCCTCGCTGACGTGATTGAGATCGGCCCAAAGGAGGTCGCACAGGATACCCTCATCCGGAACGTCCGTCGGTCGCCGGAGCAGCCGGATCTGCTCCAACCGCTGGAGAGAAGGACTTAGACCACCGTGGCAGCAGAAGATACGTTCTCCAACAACAGCGGCCACCGGAAGCCAGTCGAAACAATCCGTAAAAGTCCGCCACAAACGCACCGAGTGCCTGCGTTTGATCTCGTCGTAAAATCCGTAGATGCGATTTATGCTGGCGCACTCGTGATTCCCGCGAAGCAGAAAGAAATTCAAGGGATATTTTACCTTATAGGCGAAGAGCAAGCAGATCGTCTCCAGCGATTGCTTACCCCGGTCCACATAATCGCCGAGAAACAAATAGTTCGCCGTCGGCGGAAAGCCGCATGCCTGGAAAATGCGCAAGAGATCCGTAAACTGGCCGTGGATATCGCCGCATATTTTCACCGGAGCCTCCAACTTCAGCAACATCGGTTGGCCCATAATCACACCTCGGGTCTCCTGAACGAGTCTCTCGATTAAATCCGCTGCAAGTGAGCATTCATTACCATTTAGGGATGTAAGCTCCCTTATGATGCAATCTTTTTCTTCAGTGGTCAAAACAGCCATTGTTTTAGATTTTCCAAGTGTAAAAAACACGGGAATTTAAATATTATGTTATTTTGATGTATGTATGCGTATGTGTAGCTGTTTATTATATGTTGATACATTTTTTCAAACCAAATTTTTGCGACTGCTTTGATTTTTTAAAATTTTATTGCCTTGACGGTTAAAAGAAATTCCTATATTTTAAAAATCCATTTTTTACGAAAGTGTTAGTTACGAAAAAAGTCAGTTTGTGGTGTAAGTCCTTACACCTCAAAAATAAATCTCTGTTTTGTTAGGGACAAAGCTGATTTTACAAATATGGAATGTCAAACCGCTTTAAATTCGTAATAAAATCCCCAATCAATTGGCTTTCAAACCTAAAAACTTTTTTCGTCGATGTTTCCCGCCGACAAAAAAAAGGATTTCGTCCAGAAAAATTATAAAAATTGTCGAAATGTCATGTCGCGTTCAGCTTGTAATTCCAAATCGATTGCCATTTTTTGAAAAAAATAGTGAGGTAACCCCATGTTTTTTTTTGTAAATCTGGTTTTTAATCAAAAAATATTTCTTTTTGGCCGATCACCACAGTAGTTTAGAATTTGGTGGATGGAACATATTTTACAGTTTATAAATACTTTCTCATGTGCAAGGATAATCCTCCTTTTCCATCCTATTCGCAAGTCCACATCGGTTCTGAGCCCAGACTTGACTTGGCTTAAAGCAGAAGCGTTAAAGTGCAAAAGATTTATGGAATTTATTTATGTGCCAGTTAAAATGACTACAACGGCGGGTGGGAATGGAAGTGGGCGTGAGTGGGTTGGACTGAAGGCCGTTGGCCATCATCATCGCCATCATCATCGTCATCATCATGGTTGTCGTCATCGTCATCTCCATCAGAAGCGCCATCACAATTTTCGTTGCGGCGGTGTGGACGTAAGCGGATTTGCGACAAAACTCATTCGCCATGGACACGATGCCACGCCCACTTCGGCCCACGGCCACCGCCCCCTCCCCTTGAGTGGACCCCTCGTAGCCACCGACTTTCGTTTGGGTTTGGCTTGAATCGCTCGGCTGGTCAAAACCTCCGACGTCTTTGCCGCTTGTTAGCAGTTGACAGCAAAGAGCGACGGGGCTAAATCCTGTTAAAATTTAGTGCAAAATAAGATAGAATGCTGGATGCTTAGCCGGGAAAAAGTAAAAAGGAAAGTAAATTATTCGTTCTTCGCCTCTCATTGAATGCGAATGTACGTAGTGTGTTTCTCCGCTTCTCTTTTGCCTTTCACTCGGTGCTCGGTTCTCCTCTGCACTTTCCATTGGAAAAAAATATAAAAAATATATAATATAAATAAAATAAAGTTCCGACTGGCCATATACATAAGTTTCGCCATTTTATACGTAGCAAGAGCTACCAACATAAATATCTTTGTATTCCGCTGGCCCATAAATTGTCGCCGAAAGCTCCGAAAACAATAAAAATAAATGAACTTGAGTGAGTCTTTGCACTGGAACCGAAAATGAAACCGAAAATGAAACTGAAACCCAAGCTGAGGAGACCCAAAAGTAAAAAAAATAGCAGAAAACCCCCCAAATTGGAACTGGAACTCGAAACGAGGCAATTTGATGTTGATTATTACTCGTCCTTCTAGTGGGAATTACTTTTCTCGGCTATGGTTTATGTGTTCCCGGCTATTTTGGCTATTAGTATTTATTGTCCTGTCCACTGTCGACCAGAATCACATTCTAAAAAATGATAAAGAATATGCTGTCTATATATCTTCATCAGCTGGTCAGAAAAAGTGACAGAAATTATGTAATAAAATGTATGCTTTTTTGTTTAAAAAAGTAAGATGGCCTAAATATTTGACATTTGCGCCAGCTATAACTGTGCCAACTTTGGTTTTTACCTGAAGTTTTTTTTATTAGTTTCCTTAAAATACAAATAAAATGTTTTATTCTAAATTAACTACATAAGTTAAATTTTAAAGTCCTGATAGTTTGTCCATCATTAACATAGCTCAATAATACCTACCGTGAACCCTTTTAAAAGTTTTTCCATACATTTTAGCCTGCCTACAACTTAAACATTTTCCTGACAGCTTTTTCTATAAGTATGAATTTTGAAATTAAAATCTGTGCTCTTCATGAATTTACTGCAGGTTTTTGAAAGTTTCTATTAGCTACTTTGGCCGCATTCTGCGTGGCATAGAAAATCAAAATGAAATTCACATAAATGCGATTGTTTGTTGGGGGATTCGGGGCACTGGAGCATACATGAACCGGACAACAATTGAGAGAGTTGCCATGGCTGCAGGACATCGGGTGGGTGGAAAGCTGGCTCCTAAGTCCCGACACGTGCTGAAGCTCTTTCCTTTCTTGCCACACTTCACTATTCGATGCAATGTGCGTGAACCAAATGCACAGAGAAAATAAATAATAACTCCTATAAGTTATTTTACCAAACAAACAAAAAAATTCGTTTAGTTATGTGGATACTAAAAAAAATGTATTTTTTAAATCGAAAAAGACCATCCTATAAAAAATAGCTTTATGGTAAAATATTTAAAAACCATAAATGAAGACATATTCATGTTGTCTTCAAAGTAGATATGCATTTATTTAAATAATTAAGCTTAGAAAAAAGACAAGAATATTTACACAGAATATGGAACTAGTATAGTTTGGTAGATTTCTGTGCACGATGGATGCGTCTCAACTTGCCACTTCACTCGTTTCGTGTCCCTTTGTCGGTCGTCTTTGGTCTGAGTAGGAGCATCTAAAAAGCAATAACAAATGGCGACAGTTAGTGTGTGGAATGCAGTTGTATTTTACTAGCCCCTTCCCTTTGCCCCACTCTCGTTTTGCTTAACATTTCACTTTTCACTTGCCACTTGTGCCACTGCCCCATCCTTCAACCCGGTTCATTTTGCACTTTTTACTGCTCCGTGTCGGATGCAGAATCTGCTTCTTTCTACACGTGTTGGTGACATTTCCCCGGGCGTGCATTCACATAAATATTTGCAAATAGTTACTCACCTGAAATTGTTTGATTTGCCAGAGGTTCAGGTGAATGGAAACATTGAGGTGGGATGAAGAAATTGTATTTCTATTGTGCCAATTTGTGAGCTAATCGATAAATTCAAAAAAAATTTCAAATGCTGAATCCATTTTATTTTGATTTGATATTTTTGTTACCCAATAAAGTGGATACACCCCAAAAAGTCCTGTCCTGTTGTAGCCAGTTTAAATTTATAATTTTTAAGCTCACCAGCTGAATGAATAAATTTATCAGAAATAAATAATATTCATTTAACCAAGCGAGCAGAAATTAAATGAAAGAAAAACACAAATTCACAACTGGTTTAATTTTAATGCACTTAAACTGCTAGCATCAAGTGCTTCAGAAGTGGTGGACATCAATAAATGCAATCTGTAAGTAAACTCTGAGAGCTCCACCCAATCTCTGGCAGTCCGGGGCTTGACAACTTAATGTCGGGGCTAGAAAACAATTTGCATGGCCTGAGAAATGCCAGCTGAGGCCACAAATAAATATTGAAACCGAAAAAGGATTTCGTGGCGAGGTGCCGGGGGAAAAAAGGAGCGAAGTGGTGGTCCCCGGAGGCCTTCAAGTCGTCCTCATAATCTGATGCTAGTTATAAACTCCCAGCTAGCCGCCGGACCAACACCCAACCACCCAACCGACGAAACCAAAGTCATTTATATTTGTGCCCGGAGGAGAGTCTTGGATTTCACAGCCGGGGCTGGTAAATATAATCATTCATGGTTTTCAGAGCATGAATCACATGCAAATGGCCAGGACCGGTGGCCCGTTGTGTTGCCTGTGCAAATAGATTCATAAATCAGTATGAAAATATTATTTGATTTCCGTTCTCACAAAATGCCACAAAAGAAGGCCTTCCTCCCGCACTTTTCCTTTTCCCGAACGTACCCTTATCGGTGTCCGAATCCGAATCCGAATTCTGAGACGTTGTCGGAAGCTACTAATTGGAGCATAAAGTACCAGCAACAAATGTCCGGGCATTATTATTCTTTTACCCTGCTGAATGGTCAATACCCTTAAAGAATTTGAATAAAATTTGCATGACTATGGTGAAAGAAATATATTTCTAGCTTGAGAGGTTAAGTTTAAGAGGTTAGTTATATAAGAGTGCCTATTGAAATGAGGTCTTTAAATCGGGTTTTAATTCGCTGTAATATCTGAAATGTCTGATTTAAGAGAGTATTTATTTATCCATCTCAACCAACTAAAGTTTTCCTCCTCGTTTTTTCCCAACTTCACTTGGCGGAAGCTAAATGTTGACATTGCGTCATGCGGCCTGTGAATTATGTGAGCAGTATCTCTGGCTTAGGCCATTGGCAGTGCAACAATGAGCACTTCCGCTTGTCAGTCGGCTTCTCTATCCATATCCACAGGGACTTCCTGTCCCTGTCCTTGGATATTCTATCTCGATTTTTCTTAGCAATCAAGCGGGATGCTCGGCTAAAGTATGCAACAGCATCTGGGCATCGGCGTCTGCATTTGTGCATTTCTACAATGGCAGGGTGCAGTTGCAACTGCTGCACGGCCAAATGTCGGGGTTCAAGTCGTGACAGGCGAAATGAGTTTCTTTCTGCTCATTGTGGCGCAGCGGTTGTGTGGCGAACTGCATCCCCGACCACTGCTTAATATTTCCGCTTGCACACTTGCTTATTTATTATGCTTCCGCCATCCTGCGGCGCAAAAGAGGCAGAGAGCACACTATTAAAGTACACGCAAAGAAAATATGGATTAAATCTCCTTCTTTTGCTTGAAAATATTCCTACAAAAATATATATATTTATAGGCTTCGATATAAGTTAGCACATGAAAATTAAAAATTAACATTGAAGCCCATTGTTTATAAAATTATTTAGGTATAGATATTCATTCAAAGAACCATTTTATTTGATGTTCTTAAATATTTATTTTGTTTTTTAAAAATTATATAGTTTTCTTTGATACCAACTCTTTCTTTTTCAGTGCAACTTAGGCTGCCACATGCGGCAAGTTGGCTTCGCTCGCCTGCTCATCT